GAACTATGGACTATCTACCACCAATTATTAAAGCTAACATCGTTTGGGGGCTGCAAAATTAGTAGGGAAACCCCCTGTTTAGCATCACTATCTGGTCTGTTCTCAAATGGAAATATTTGTGTGGGAGAGAAAATGTTTGTTTTTGTTCAGGAACAAAGTGTCTTTGATCTAGTAAGAACTCTAGGAGTCGTACAGGCTCTCACTGTCCATGAGAAACAAAATCTGATTAGAAGATGGAATAACACAAAGCAAAGTGTAGTATCCATTTCATTTTTATGGCCTTAAGGAAAAAGTCTTCAAGCTAAACCTGCTTTCATGCTGCACACACACATGTTGACAGCTGAGTCTGAAGAATTTACACTGTGGGAAAACAGTCATTGTCCCCAGCCCTGTACTTCGTCTCTGAAAACGTGTGGTTCATTTGAGAATTCAGTTATCAGTCTCTCAGCACTAAATGTGAGAACTGATTTTTTTCCAAATTAACAGAAAGGTTCCAGCTGACAGGCTGCAGAAACCAGGTTGCTCTGAGTGTGGAGATGTCGATGTGTTCAAGACAGGGCCGGAGGACTGTGAAATGCAGGCTTTGAGAAATCAGATACCATTTCAAAAAAAAAAAATAGAAACATGATGTTTATATATTCATGCAAAAAATGAATGAGTTCTGAGACATCAGCATAGACTACAGATTCAACATTATTGCCAGGTATAATGTATTGCCTTGTATGATGCTTTTCAGGGGTCTTCGGGGCTATTGAATTAATTTGGGTGTGTATCTTACTGTATTTCCCCAATTAATTCACCTCTTTGGATGAACTAATGAATCAATTTTAGGTGACTTTTGATTTTTGCTCATGCTGAAGAAAAACAAAAATACAGTTATCAAGAATTAGATCTTGAATTTTCATGATTTTTTTAAGTACAACCTCACTACATTAACACTTTTTATAAAAAAAAAAAAAAAAGAACACTTTTATAATTGTACCAATAAAGGTTTTAGTCCAGTTTGAACAAGAAGGAATTGAAAGAAATCATACTTGGACTAAAAAATTAAAATATATGAAAGCTATGTATGTTTTTACAAGTTAGTATATGATAGCTGTCCTCATGTTTTAGAACAAACCCTAATTTAAGTTCCCTGGTGATTAAAATAACTTCTCATTTCAGATATGTGTGGCATGAGTTTGACATGTGCAGAAAGCCATGTTTTTCTCTTGTGCTTCATAAAGTCTCTCAATATGTTACAGTTTTAAACTTCAATTCCAATTTCAGCTTCTAATAATTTAGAAATTAAGTTAACTTTTTCTGTGTATATTTGTGGTTAGAAAACAAATTTCCGCTGCTCTTGGGGTAATCATTTCTTAATATTTAGTGGGCTATCTAGTTACTATACTCTTTAGCCATTCATTGCAATAGATGGATGACTAGCCCAAATTACTATTTTTTATTTGATAAAGACTGTTTTCCACATTGTTCATGTCCTTGATTAATAATGGGATGCTGTATAATGAAAACCCATCAGCTTTAAAATAATGTTCCTCTTAGATTCTGACCCTTATCTGTGATGGGAAGATAATACTGACATATTTCCTATAGTTACTAGGAAAAGGCCCGATAACATGTATAAAAAGCACAGAGATTCTGAACCTTCGCAAGTGTTTACATGTTAGCTAGCTCTGTCCTTTCGCATACTGCTTCAGCCAGGGAGTGCTGGGGAGATGTGTAGGGCTCCCTCTGTCAATGGTTACATCAGAGCGGGGTGAAAGGGCAACCTGGTCTGGCTTTGGTACAATGAAACCACACGGATCCTTGAGAGAGCCAAGGCCCGGTGAACACAAACAGAACTAATTACATGCCCAGAGTGTGAGGCTTTCCCATTCATTTCAGGAAGACCTGTTTTCTTTTAGTGGAATTTCCTAACAGGATCGTGCCTGTGGATAAACTGACCCACTTGTTTTCTTTTCTTTTCTTTTTTCTTTTTTCCTTTTCTGTAATTGAAATGGTATGCAAGTCATCATCCGACTTCCTCTCACAGTCATACCAGGATGGTCTGCCCTCATTGGAATCAGCATAACTTCCTCTGTGGTCATGTTCTAGGATATTGCACATTCTCTAAAGATTCAAGTTTCTCCACAGGATGCATTTTTAGAAAAATAAAACCAAGAAACATGACTTCAAATAAACTACAAGAGCGCAGATTAATATTGGAACCAGAAACCCAGTTTTGAATTGCCTGTAAAACACTTTTAATAAACAGTTTTAATTCTAACATGGTTGAAAACATAAACCATGTCAGAAGTCCAATTGAATTTTTCTTTAATAAGTAAAGACATGAATAGCCTATTTTATATAATCTCAGAATTTTTCATGATTTCATTTTGCATTGTTTCAGCGGTTTTTAGGAAATGAGTGTATTTTTCTGACCATTGGAGGAAAGCTTCAGCATCAACCTGGCTTTGTGGTTGTATGAGAAGATGCCACATCCAGAAGCTGAAAATTCATTTAGTTCAAACAACCAAACAAACAAAATAACAAAACCAACAACAACAAAAATAACAAAGCAAAACAGAGACAACCAATTGGAGGACCCTTTACTGGGGAATGCTGCCCTTAGTTCCCGGTCTAGGAACTAGCTGAGAGCTTCCTCTTCAATGATTACATGCCT